GGCCTGCCATTGCATTAACCGAGATCTCTAAATCTTCGTTCACTTGTTGCGCCGGTCGGTCCTCATAGGCCTCTTCATCGTCCTCTTCAATGACGTCGATCAGAAAAAATTGTTTGCATTGATGGCCAGGGGTGAACCTTTCTTCGCACTTGTAGCAGAGACCCTTCTCACGTCGGCGTCTCATCTCCTCGAGCGTGAGTTGTTTAACGCTCGGTGGTGTTCGAAAGTTGTTTGGCGGTCGCGGATTGGGATGGACATTACTCACGTTTGATGGTGCGTTGTCTTTGATTGTACGCTCGTCCAAGTGTTGGTCCGCGCGCCGTTGCTCCATGTTGCGCACACTCTCTCGCCCGATCCTTCATGTGGCATTTAAGTGTTCATCCCTCCTTCGTGCAGACTCAATGGCCTCGCGCATGGTCCGTGCTCTGTCGTGCCTTACTTCGGCGGCTAGCTTGAATTTGAGACCTCCTATGAAAGTCCCGATGAGCGCAGAGATCGGCCAATTGCGCACCCGATAGGCGAGTCGCTCGAACTCTTTCATGTAGTCCCGAAGACTCCCCATCTGCTTGATGCGTGAGAGCGCCTCGTCATAGCTGTGATAGTCTGATGACCCAAATCGAGCAAGTAATTCGCGCTCGAATTCTTCCCATCGGATGTGGAGCGGGTTGCCTTGGTAGCTGCTCACAAGCTATTGCCACCATACGTTGGCTTCCCCATCAAGATAGTAAGCAGCATACCTTACACGGTCATTCTCATCGGTCTCATTAAGCTCGAAATATTGCACAGCTCGGTTGAGCCATGCGTCAGGATCTGTGCCGGTGAAGGTGGACAGCGTTAGTCGTGGTTTTACGGGCTTCGGCCGGTCATAGTCGTTGGACGCCTGGGATCGCCGGTCGAAGTCCTCCTCTTGATCTTGCTCCTCGCGTCGCTGCTCACGGTCCTCTTCTCGATCGCACTCCTGGCGTTGTTCGTGATCGGCGTGTCTGAGATGCTCGCGCCTTGGAGGTGCGTTGAACTGTCGTGGTTGTTGCTGCTGGAATGCCTGCAAGACTTCCTCCAGTCGCTGCTCAAGTCCCGTGACTGCAGTGTTGGTGTTGTTCTCGAGCGATCCCAACCTTCCTTCCATAACCTCGCTCATACTTCGCATCTGAACGTCAAGATTGTCAATTTTGTCCTTCATCTCCTTGTTGGCCATGGCTTTCTTCTCTTGCTTGCGTTCTTTGCTTCGTGGACTCGTGTTGATGATGATGATATTTATTTATTATTATTATTTTTTTTTTTTATATATAGGGGGGATGAAAAAA